GAAAGCGCTCCAGAAAACAAACAGAAGAATAAAAACTCTTAAGCAACTTAACCCTAAGTTCCTATTACTTCCGAAGACGCTCCGAACCGACAATTATACCAGGTACGATTATTGACTGTAACTCCAAAACAAAAGGACCAACAAGAAATCGTATTCTTCGGCAGTCAAAATCTACACTCTGTACAAAGCATGTAAACAAATGTTTTACAAAAAATATAATGTACTTTTATTCGTATTCGTTCGTCTTCGCCCAACTTGTACACGATTAAACCATTCGCGCCTTCGAGTTGCCCGCCAATGGCTACCAAGGTCAATGATCTGATATTCAATGTTAATATTCCTTAGCACGTGTCCTCACTAGTGCACAAAATCTGGTTGGTAATTGAGGCTGGATTGAGCAGCTGAACTGTCTATCTGTGATCCAGGCAACTATAATGGAATCTCTGTGGAGTTAAATTAAGAAAATCACTTGTTCGTGCACTGAGGCCTACTACTGCTAATTATAATATGGGTACAGCTACCGGCTTTATGGGTACGAAACTAGCTTTACTGCGTGGCAAGACACTATGCAGACTTTCGTTGTTTAGCATACTCCATGAATAACTGACAGCGCCATCATCTGTTTCACAGGCATCAGAAAGCAAATGCATCTCCACTATTTCCAGTTTTTACTTCAAATTTTCCACTACCTTTCGGCACAAATATACGGCACTTGTATTAAGTAGTTAGCCCGAAGCAATATGCACCATGCAAAAACTCTGTTTGGTATGTGGGATTAACTAATTACAGAGGGTCAAACAGTGGTGAGATGGTAGACCGCAATCCTGTACTGGTCAAGGACTTTACATCTGAGTCAAAACGAAATCGAAATACATATTCACTATGTCCCATACTTTGCTTAAATCTCTTTGGTTGTATGCTTGACCAGATTTCAAGTCAAATGTTATTTCCAAACCAAAGTTCATAAAGGAATCTCTTATAGACTCTAGACTAATTTTCTACTGCTTCACCTTAAAACCTTTTCTTGCTAATTCATTTATTTGTATCACGAACCCTGTCGTTGCTTCACTATGTGGGAGGTACCCGAGACAATCTTCGAAATATAAGTTGCTGCTCACTGAATCTGCGACCTCACAATCTTCAGCAGCACAAAGTCTTCGCAAAAGGGTGGTAATGTTGTACCGAAGGGATTTAATGTCACCTGGTACTTAATTAACTCATTATAGCACCCTTTATCGGCCAGAGGAAACTCATTGTACGACGGTCAGGTTCTACAATTTCAGCATGCATAAACATCTCTTCAGCACTTTCAGTTCCCTGCAAAACCTCAACCGTATACTACGTAAGTCTGCCGTTGTGTGTAGACCCTGATATAGTAAGACACTGAAAAACTTACATGCAAATTTGGTAGTGCCATCTAGAACCAACAATAACCAACAGGCTTTCTGGTATTATGCAACTCGAGGTGGAGTAAACACCAAAGCAAACAGTGGTTAGGATCAATCAGTAGCGGGGAAACCTCCACTGTATGTCTTTTGTCAATACTCTGCTACACAGCTTTTACGTAACCCTCATGAAAATTTCCCTAACTCATGATGCAGCGTTACAAACTCTCCAATGTTCGTCTACTTGAATGAAAGTTAAAAGCTGCAACCTTCCAGGGGAGAGGATCTAGACGGTAACAATTTTCAAAATGTATTCCTCTCTCCGCTATTTCACTCACCTTCATTTCACCCATTGATAAGTGTTTATCACAAAAGCGTCAGCAAATTCATATATATTTATATCCTGATATTCTGTCTGTCTGGATTCAACATAGAACTTGGCACCGAAGTGCAGCAGTTCGAGTTGCCACGTTCCAAATAGCACACAGAGGTAGACAAGAAGATGAGTGAAGAGAATTAATAGAGTTTGACAAATATAAGAGTGAAACAGAATGGGTAATGGTAGAAAGGAATATGAAAGATTACAGAGACTGAATACATCTGCGCCATTGACAACGATTTTGAGCCATGTCACCTATTGTCTCCAGCCATTGATCCTGATATTGCCACTTTGGAAGCCGAAATTCACAGCTTCTCCAATATACTTGTTATAATCCATTGCTTCAGAAAAACCCAACCGAGTTTTGATGACAGATGGACTTTTCCTCCCCTAGGCCTTTGGTTACAACCACGACGCACCTGATTAGAAACAAGACTTCACCACCGTTTGGCTCACTCCAGAGCACACCTGTAGGGTGTGGTTATCACAGAACACCTTCCGAGATGGGTCTGCCTGGCCTAAGCAATGTAGGATCTTTCGAAACAGCAGCTTTTTAATGGCTACACAATCATATGCATCCGATAAGGGAACTTTAAAGGCTTTACTATCTTCATCGCCACCTCGTCCTCACTGAACGTCATGACTGCAGTCCTCATCCCACATGATGACATTCATGACAGTCATGTGTTATTTCGTGCAATAAGAGCCATATCTGAACCGTTATCTGAAAACCCGTGTCCTCTGACATCTTTATCATCATTAAACTTTAGTCGCACCGTCATTAAGATCAGATACCCTTTTACCTAAAGACTTCGAATACTCACAATTAGCTTTTATCGTCTACTCATTTGGTATGTTAAGGACCTTCTTTAATGTATGCAGGTGTCAGTGATGGAACCGTCTGCAGCCTTCAGAACTACATGCTCTACGAATTTGACATCCAGTGACAAGCAGAATAAATTCTACCTCCTCAGCCCCTGGCAACCTTTTATTTGAAGATTATGCTGCAAACAGCCTACATTCAGAGATCATGTGGTCTCCTCCGCCTTCCTCACGACTGTTCTTATCTAACCTAGCAGATATAACAACCGCAGCACTCACCATCTGCAGTGAGGACCAGACTGTCTTTCCATTGTTTCATAGATTACTTGTTGCTAGCTTTCCGAATTTGCACACTAAGAGGTTCACGAGAATAGAAGCATACTGTGTCATCTCAGAAATTCCAGCCTCACACGAATCTCTACAAAGTCTTCCACTATTTAGACATAAATTTTGAGTTCCTCCTGTTTTCATAGTTAAAGTCACAGTTGAATTGGAATAGTTCTATAAGATAGCAAATCCTTTATATGTTTCTGTTTTGCCCGTGTTTAAACAATGTCAAAGAAAACCATCAGAATGAATTTACCCCTTAATTTTTATGCGAAGCATTAATTTCGACTTTCTCTATTTCTCCCATAACCTACAGTCTAAAAAGCAATATTATTAGAATTAATTAAACTGACTTTTTCTTGTCATCTTGGATGATTTTATTTTACTTCTCTCTAATGAAGACATACGAGTGTGACTAAGATAATTCAGATTTCGTGTTTTATGTAGACTTTGATTAATCTATATAGAGATTTCGTTACGAACCGATATCACTCAGAGAATCCTTGAAAACCAAGGGACAGGGAAAAGTTACGTCATCCTCGTTTGCCATTCTTTATTCGTAAGTACCGAAGAACCCACTAGAGTTACAACCGAGAAAATGTAAGTTACGAGACCAGCCCACCGACTCTTCAGTACAAACCTATCTAAAATGAAAGACTTGTCATTAGTATAGTCTTAAATGATATATTCATTACTTAAGAAATAACAAGTTCATTCTCCTATTCTTTACTTTAACTAACTTTTCTAAAGGTTTTGATAGGAATGCACTGATTAGTTTATCTATAAATTACTAGCATAGGTTCAATAAGTATATCAGCTTACAGCAAGGCATTTGATTGGGTTTTCAGTATAGAAAACAGTTTTATGAAGTTCACAGCGATCTAACAAAGAAATTTTGTTGCCTTGATGTAAAATGTAATGCATGTGGAAAAATGGAACAATTTAACTACTTGATAACCATTAACAGGCTTCTTTAATGGATTAAATCATACCTGATTTACGACAATTTATGATACTCAAGTATTGGTTTATAGGGATTTGACTAATTGGTTACAGGATTTTATCATGAGCTGACATCAGTTAGAGAACCATTGGGGCAGGTGTAAGGACAAATACTCACTGAAGACATTAGCTAGTGGTCGCGCTTTGTCGTGAATTGATAGAAGCTGGAATTCATGGGCTATTAGGTTGGGTCCCAGTGGCTTAATGGTCTACCAGCTCGACTTGTAACCAGAAGGTCCTGGGCTCGAACCCTGACAGTGGGTACGTACAGATGAAGAGTTCCAAACTAGGATGAAATAGATGTCCAGTACTCCCAGATTTTCCATAGGTTCTCTAACTGATGTCATCTCATAATGAAATCCTTTAACCAATTTATGATACTGCCTATTTCTATAATTCTACATAACTAAAGAAAGAAGAATGCACCAGTGATTTTCCAGTGAAATAAAAGCAATAATGCCTAAAATATGTATCTCCTAGGTTCCACTGTAAGTGGATATATATCATCAGACTTTAAAAATAACTTGGAATTATATTTAGAAATATGGTTGATTTCGACTTTCAACCCTGAGTTCATCCATTTAGCCAAAATATTTTACACATATGTATCAAATATACTATTTATATATATTCTTGATTAGGTTAAAATAGATTAATTTTCAAATTCTTGATTCATAAATTAAGGAAACTATAAAACAATGTAATATTGTGTGTCAAAATAAATTGTGATCACATGAATGTTATTTTTGTTCAATGTGACAATATTTCATATCTAACAATACTGAGATTTTTTTTTATCCAGCATTCTTTCCACCATTAATCTTTTAATGTTGTTTTTTTTTCACAAGATTAATGTTAACTTGAATTCCCAGAAAAGGACAACTTACACCCTCTTTTTTTTAAAATGATATTCCACTACTGTCAGTACTGAATGTAATGTTTCGAATGAACAAATAAACATTGAAGTGAATTGTTGTGACCAAGTATTAATTACTTCAACGGGAAGATGATCACTTTTTACATTTCACTTGTTCTGTACATATTTAAAGCGTGTTATAATACATACTGATGAATGTTGTAATATATCACTTCACTTTAAATCTACTTGAAAATATATCCTTCATTATTTTAGGTAGTTTCAGTGGATTCGAATATCTATTGTCATATTCACAAATTTTATCAATTGATCGTAAAAACGAACACATAACTTGTGATTCATTTCTACCCAATGTTTTACATGACTCAAAGTGTAAAATATGAGCTGATGAAGTAGAAAGTGACGAAATTAGTGAAGGAGAAGAATGAACTCTTTGACACTTGTCATTAACCAGATGACAACATTGATAATAATAACTGTTATTATTATCACTAGAATTAGTTGTGGCATTAGTAGCAATAGAAATACAGTTATCATTTTGTACATTCAATTCATTTTCATTACATAATTTTGTTAAGTCTTTTTTATTTTTGTGTAAATTTGTCAATCTTATTCTAGCACTTATTTGCATAGCACAACCAATATCCCATAGACATGGATTTAAATAGCCTAAATTTTTATGCCGACTAAAATTTAAGCGTGAATCTAACCATTGCATTAACTGTGTTGCACATTTATACATTTTATAAGGATATTTACCAGACCAATCACAACAGATTATGCGTAAATGTTCTTTAGCGTTAATCTGCACTACTAAATCAATGTCTGTAGAAGATTTCGGTGCAATATATAAACTTCTACCTTGTGGCCAATAACGATAAGCACCTGTTATTTGACTGATATGATCATTAGTTAATAGAATTAAATTCTTTTTTAATAAACTTGTATATAATCTTGGATGTTTATCTTGAAATTCATCTAGTGGATACCATTTGCCTATGCCTTGTTCTTTCCATGATAATAAGACATTTTTACAAATATTTTCAATTGTTTTCAATTCATTCAATGATAACATTGGTAAAAATCCATATCCAGTAATATTTCTAGTAAATTGTATACGATAACTTTTAATTTTACAATGATTATTTATGATTGGTTTATGACAAGGTAATGTATAATCTGATTGTAATGGATGATATAATTGTTTCATCGAGTAGTATTCCATAATAATGGGTTTGAATAATTTTTCAAAAGTACTGTACACCTGTGGATCTGTAGCATAAGGATATGGCATAGTTGGATAATATGCATTAATTCGTATACAATGAGCTAGAGTACTGTGAAAATCAGTCACTTTTTCACTTAATTCATCAATTAATGATTTAGTTAAATACTTTTTAGTTAAGGAAACTTTATTCTCCGTCTCCAAATTTGATTGATTCAATAAATTGACTAGATAATTAAGACTTTCAACTGCCATAACATCATAACAGCCTAGCAGGTTAGATGAATTCATTAATTCCGCGCATAAGATACGCAAGCGTCGGATACCTTCAGTAATATGTCTCAGGTAGTCTTGATCAATTGAATCAATGTTTGGTTTTGTATACAATAAGACAGGATATTTTTCAGCCTCGCTGTGATCACTAGATATATCTCCATTAGACAATGATGCAATATACTCATAATTGAATGGCTTTATTAATAAACATATACCTAATTGTAAATTGTTTAACCCAACTGTGTATGACATATCTTCAATGTTTGAGGCTAAAAGTCTTATTAATTCAGGTGATATTAAATAAATTCTAAAGCTTATACCACGTCCATCAGATTTGCATTTTAAAGATTTTGAATTCACCGCTGGACTTGATAAATATCCAATACCTTTTTGTATTATATCCATAAGTAATGATAAGGCCTGTGCATAAACAATACCAATTTTACCATTATTTGAGCTAACTATTAATTGTAAATGATGTTCATAGTTAATTAAACCGCCAACAATTAAATCTAATTGTTCTAATTTCCATGCTGTTACACAACGAAATTCTGGTTGAACTTTAACTTTATTTATATGATCCCACCATTGTTTTGGTGGTTTAACATGTTTTGGTCCAGATGTGAATACATAGGAACCGTTGAATATTTTTTGATAAGTTGAAAGTACTTTTACATCTGTACTGTTAGTATGCTTAGTTTTAGGAAATAAATGTAAACATGTTTGTGTACTAATTGATCGATTATAATAAGTAATTGGATGGTTGATATCATCACCATAATTTTTTATAATTCGTTTTTCTAAACTTCCTTTCTCATTTCTTGTATATATTACATTTACATTATCAATATCATTAAAGGAAGACATATCATTATCTTCATCGCCTTTATTATCTTTGATGCATTTTGAAGAATTCCCTAGACTTGTATTAATCTCATTCAACTTTTCTGTTAAAGAATTATTAGTTACTGCTTCACGTAGTTTCCTTTCAAGTAATGTAAATATTAAACGTGCTTCCATATGATTTAAGTAGATCGGTGATGCAACATAATCTAAATCACGATATAATGATACTTCGACATAAATACACGGTAGAATAATCGATGAATTAGGATATTGAGATTGATTTATATTGATCACATTATTATCATTCATATCAAGATGACAAAGTGTGATTAAATTACTATTATAATGTAGAGTTTTATGATGCTTAATTGATTTTAAATTAATTGTACTTTGTATTTCATTAATATACTTAGAATTTTGTTGATGATGATCTCCATGATAAGATTTAGTCACTGCTGATAATCTTGACTTTATGTTGTATTCATACTGGTTCATTGTATTCACCCAAGTATTCTTTAGACGAGTACTAGACGTTGTAGTGTCATAAGTAGAGGTCATATCAGTGCTAGTATTAGTGGTAGTAGCAGGACGCTTTTTGATAATATCATTCGTACAAAGTATACTACTCGGTTGTTCTAATAAACTATTCGCCTTACTGTTTCGAGATTTCTGATGATATTTTCTAATTATAAATAAAGGTGTTTTCATTGGTGATGTCTGTACATAATGACTGTATACCGCTCTCGAATGAATCTGTTGATAATTCAGATGAATAACTGGTGGTTCACTGAAAACTGGAGGCAGAACATAAACAAGATTGTATCTCACTATATTATAGATTGTATAAGTTATTAACACTGTTGAATTTCGCACTATTTGTTCAAATAACGGATAACATATAGGTTGATTAATTTCAGTTCTGCAATGAATTAAACTTTTGCCTTCAAATGATGTTGATAAGGTTGGCGACAATGTTGATAACGGTGATGATGATGATGATGTGGTGGTAGTAATAACAATTTGCTCTCATCCTCTTCACAATATAATTTATCATTTAATAAAATAGATATTTTTGCACTTTTATAAGATACTGTTGATTTGCTTACTTCAAGATTGACTTGTGATGAATTGTTCAATGTCATATTATATTTAATGGATGTTGTTTAACTACCTGATGACAAAATGTGTGTAGTTTATCAGTAAAATTATCCAATGATATTTCATTTGAATTTAATGAATATGTATATGAATTTTCTAAACAGTTAACTGAATAATCTGGTAAAGTTGAAGTACATAATGTTGTTGTTGATGATGATGCTGCCGCAGTAGATGATAAGGATAATACAGATGGTGATTGATTCGGTGATACAATGAATACAGTTTTTTGTTGTACAACTGATGTTGGCAAAAAGTGTCTATGATATGACGGTATATTATCTTTTGTGGAGTTTTTATCCATTAAATGAACCACTTGACAATAACACTTACATTTATCTTTTTTTATAGTTGATGACTTCTTTGATTGATTGATATCCAGCTTTTTAACACATTCATCATAGGATATATCACCTAAATCACTGATATAATAATCTGATGAAACATTTTCTTTTTCTATTTCTGTCCATTTTAAACCATAACTTGTTGATGTACAACAAGTATTACAAGGTTGACCATTAACATTTAATGTTATCGATTGATGAGTTGTTGGTAGACGACAGTTTAACTTTTCTGTTAGACATTTCTGCTTTTTTATTACTTTTTTATTTTTAAGTAGTGTATTATCATCACTTACTTCACATGTTTGACTTAATAACACATTATTATCATCCTTATCATTAATATTTATTTGTAAAATATTCGATGGAAATTCAGTTGTCAGTGTTGTCGGTATATCAATATCATTTATCATATTTATTGTTGAAAGAGATAAATTTTTATCTGTACATGTAGTAACACTATTGATAATATTATTGTTTTCTTTTTTGTTATGAATGCATTTATCACATTCATATTTCATTTGATTATAATGATTATTTACTCTAATTAATAATTGTTCATTGAATAATTCATTATCTAACTGATTTATTAGTAATGAATCAATTATTTGATTGCATAGCAAACATTTTTCATCATTTAATGAATAAAATAAATAATCACTTGTATTTAATAATGATAAATCTTGTTCACTTTCATATGACCACATTTGTTCTTCAATTGGACAATAAATAATTTGATGTAGTTCAATTGATTTTTTTCTTGTATATGGATGAATTTTAAGTAGATTATCTTTATAACTCTCATTATAATCACTTGATAATAATGATATACAATCACCAGAATTTATAGTTGAATTTGTTTGACTAAGTGGTGATAATATTTTCTTACGTTGATCTAAAATAGCAACACATTTCTCATTTGAACAGCATCCATGTAAACACATAATTTAAATATATATATTATATACGATCAGTTAGATACTAGTACTTTATATATGCTCATATAAACACTTGAAGATTTCTTCTCAAATTGTTGTAATGTTAATAATTTATGCTTCCATCATCTGTTAAAGTTATAATATATTAATGAATTTATGTTAGACTATCGATCGATACTTTTTAAAATAAAACGATCAATATTAATTGTAATTGAATGTACTGTATATCCGGTATACCCTGTTTAAGAATAATTGAGTAAAAACACTAAGTATTACATTTAAAAAAACAACCTCGGTGACAGAAGGAAACAGACAGAAGAAGCATTAATGTTAAATAGCTATCCCATAAAATTCATTAAGAAGATTACAAAAGCTCATAAGGCAAAAAGAAAAATAATGGTGAAACTAGTAACAATAACATAAATAAGAAAAAATTTAAGGCAATCAGAGTAGAGTTTTACCATATATAAGGAAGAGATATCTGAAGTCCTACGTGGGATTCTTAATAGAGATTGAATTAAGGTGGCATTTACATCGGAAACCTCATTCAAGGAAAAGCTCTGTAGGTTGCAGGACTCCTTTGACCAAATTAGGCAAAATAATGTCAGTTGCAATGACTGTAGGGTCAGCTAGACATGTCAAACCAGTAGACTGGAGGTATTCAGATTATTGGAACACAATAATTTAGCTAACTGTGGAATGATTGACATGACGATGAGTAATTTAGCAATTGCAATGTATGCATTAACACACGACCACTAAAAAAGGCATGACAGAGCTACAATTCTAAAAAGTAATGTAGTTTTTTGGAGAGATAGGCTGATTACTGAATTTTGTTCATTGAATCTACACTTAATACATACAGTAGGAATGACTCAGCACCAATACCAGAGATATAGAAAACACTACTATCAATCAGCTTATAGGATAGGAAATAATATTCCATTTTTGTCTTCCTTTATTACGATTCATGTTACTACATGCTAACATTTTATTTATTTTACTGACAATACTCATCTTATTTACCATCTTATTGTAATCATATTTCCAAATGTACTTTATTTTCCGATCATCTATTTCACGCATATCTATTGAAGTTTATATTAATCTTTATTTACTGATTTATGTGTCTAATCAATGTTTTCCTCATGTATATAACCGAATTCAGAAAGCTGTGTGAGTATCTTGATATGATTATGAGCGACAATAAATTGTTCTCAAAACGTTATCAGTAAACAATACTGTATAACACTGTGATTTTATCAAGTAAATTTTATCTATAATGGGATTATACTGCACCAGAGTGTCGAAAACGTTACGTAGTTTACTAGCTTGCTAGTTCTCCAAGCTGTCCTAAGCCAAAGTCAAGAGGGGGGTGGGCATAGAGTTAGTACCCCTATACCACTAAACCTATCCAATGGTTAGAGAAACTTCAACACACAAATAATATATTAAAAATACAAAAGATATAAAGAATGAACTTATTTTTCGCTGGAAATGGAAAGGTGAAAGCCTTCAGGAAGCCAGACAGTCGATGTGTCTTCTGTCAATGAAACCAAAAATAAGAATGGGGATGTGGAATGCACGTACAATGTACGAAGCCGGCAGGGAAAACCGCCTACCTAGCCAAAGAGATGAGAGGATAGGGTATAGAATTCCTAGGAATGAGTGACAATGGAGAACCCACAGACTTGTGTTCTTCCAATGATTTGGTGATCGGAAAAGGTGTGTACAAATATAAGGATATACACAAGGCAACATGGATTTCGCCTGCCAGACACACCAAAATCCAGATAGATTTATATCAATGCTGCTCAGTGAAGTGGTGACGCAGCCTGCTGGATACAAAGTCGAGAAGGGGAGCAAATGTGGGCTCAGATCATCATCTAGTTCAAGGAACCTTCAAATAGAAGCTGGAATCCTCAGAACAACTGGAAATAGACCACAACTCAAGTTCAACACTCAGAAACTGAAAGATGAAACTACAAAAGATACCTTCACTGCAGCCAACAGGGCAAAGTCGAAGACACTACTAGGTGGCAACACTGAGGAATCCTGTGTGGAGGACCTGTGTCCCAACTGAGGAGGACAGCAGGAAATAGAACCAATCGAAGATGTGCTGTTGGTGTCCTATTTTCCGTTAGCAACCCAAGGGAACAGTAATAATAATAATTCAGTGTTGAAGTTCTATTATTATGTCAACAGAATATTAAAGTTTTTGACGGTGTTGTGTATTTTTTGAAAGTTGTTTTCAAATCTTAATAAACTCAAATTCGGAATGTTCTGTTCTTTGCATATTCTTCACTGTAGGAATTATAGTCACTGAATGTATTCACGTGAAGTGGATGGGACTTCTTGTGAGAGCTATCTGCTAGGCGAAATTGGTGGACAGCAATTTACGTCGATGTTTACATCCCAAATCTTGGTCATGAGAAAAAAACAAGAACAAAGTCCAACCTTGAGGAACTCAACAACCAATCACAGCAGACTGCGTGGGCGGATACAATTCGCAGATATATGATCTGACCTTCAAAGAAACGACCACAAAGAGATGACAAAATAACTTCCAGAGAGAAAACAATCAATCAGAAGACGCTGTTTTCTGCTAACAATAACGAGTAATAATATACATAAAATATATAAATATCTCTTGTTTCCCTCAATAAACGATCTGTTATAATTATTATATTATTTTATCCTTTAGTTCCTAGAGGAACATAGGGCTTCAGCTGCGCACCTCCATTGCCTTCTGCTTTCTGACAACTTTTTCACCCCGCTCCAAGTCTGCCCACATGCTTTCATCTCCTCTTCACATGACCTCCTCCAAGTCACCCTTGCACTGACGACCAACTCGCTGCTTCCCTTTCGGGTTCCACTCGAGCAATGGCTTGTCTAGTGATGTCACTTGATGGTTTCCTCAGAGTATGGCCAATCCATCTCCATTTCTTCCTGCCTATTTGTTTCACAATCAGTTCCTGGTTGGTTTGCTCATTGCCAGAGATCCCTGTTTCTGACCTTTCCTGGCCACCTGGTCTTGAGTATTGAGCAAAGACAACTGTTAATGAAGGTCTGAAGTTTGTTTGAGATGCTCTTTATGACTCGCCAAGTCTCTGATCCATATAGAATCACTGACTTTACATTGGAGTTGAAAATTCGGATCTTATTTTTGTTGCTGAGTGCTGTTGACTTCCACACAGACTTAAGAGTAATGAAAGTCTGCCTTGCTCTTCCGATTCTGGCTTTGATATCCTCGTCAGTTCCGCCTGTAGTTGAAACGATGCTTCCCAGGTAGGTAGGTAAAGGAGGTTGTTTCTTTCAGGTTCCCCCCATTTATGCTGGCTGATTGTTGTCTGTTGTTGTTGCTGTTGGTGTTGGCCAGGAATCTTCATCACCTCTGTTTTATCTATGTTCACCTGAAGTTCTATCTTTGGTGCTTCTTCTGCCATTTTGTTGCTTTTCACTTGCATATCTTCCAGTGTTCTGTGGGAAATCAGACATATATCATCGGCGAAGTCCAGATCCTCCAAGTTTTTTGTGTGAGTCCATTTTATGCCCGTTCCCTCGTTGGTTGCCGTTGTCTGTCGCATCATCCAATCTATTGCAATCAGGAAGATCATTGGTGGTAGTAGGCAGCCTTGTCTCACTCCCGTCCTCACTTCGAAGGAATCCGTAAGTTTTCCGTTGTGGATTACTTGGCATGCGGCATTTTCGTATAACTGTTGGATGAGATGTATAATTGTCGATGGGACCCCATAGTAGCGAAGTAGTTGCCAAATGACCTCTCGATCGACGCTGCCGAAGGCCTTGTCAAAGTCGATGAAGTTGAGATAGAGAGGTGACTGCCATTCCAAGCTTTGTTCAGTGATGATCCGTAGAGTGGCGATTTGATCAATACATGACTTGTTTCTCCTGAATCCGGCCTGTTCCGGTCGAAGCTTTTCATCTAGGGCTCGTTTGATTCTCTCCAGGATGACGCGGCTTAGTATTTTGCTTGGAATAGACAGGAGCATAATTCCACGCCAGTTTTTAGATTGACTTGAGTCTCCCTTCTTTGGTAGTTTGAATAAGCATCCTTTCTTCCAATCCTCGGGTACTTTGCCCTCTTTCCACACCTTCTCCAGCAGTGGTGTCATCAAGTCCGCTGTTGTCTCTGGGTCTATTTTCAAAGCTTCTGCTGGGATTCCGTCTGGTCCTGCTGCTTTTCGAGCTTTCAGCATCTTGATTGCATTCAGGACCTCTGATTTCGTCGGGGGGGGGGTCGATGTTCAGTGGTAGTTCTGCTTCCGTTGTTGGTATTGTTGGGCGCGACAATCTGTTGCCTGGCCCTTGTCTTCTGTAGGTGCATTCTTAATGATAACTAGTCTTCTTTAGATAAGTTCAGAATATTTTTGTTTGTTTCTACAGAATGTTAGATTGCAATAATAACGTTAGCAAGAAATATTAGTAAATAGATCTATGGGTGAAGAAAACGACATGGCTGTGTGAACTTCATTAATATGAAGAACACAAATTTGATGTATATAAATTGGTCGTTAGTAAGTGCCACATTATGAAGGATCTAGGTAATGTTTTTCACAAACAATTCTTTAGAGTATATAGCATATCAAGTCGTACTACTGTAACGGCAGAACACATCAGTATTTGTCAACAAAATTATTTATTGACGACTCGATGTACAGAAAGCGACAAAAGTGCGTCGGCGCACAGTGGTTAGGACTCTCGCCGACCATGCACATGGTCCGGGGTTCGAGCCCACGCCGGCGCACACCTGATATCTATGGTCGGCCTGCAAAATTTGGGCTACCGATATCCATGCTGAAAATTCCATACTTGTACCAAAAATACAGTGTGGAATCAAGCTGTAAATCAAAAATAAAAAAATTAAAAAATAAATAAAATAAAATACATTACAATCACTGTTTATACATATCTCTCCTATTATGCTTGATTGTCTTTCATTCATGTTCTCTATGCTGCTTCCCAAGAATCGTTCATTTCTTCTCTTC